GTTCTGGAACCAATCCCCTGAGGATACTAAAGGGTGACTGTGTTAGGCTCCTTGAAGTTGTCACACAGCTTACCGATGCTCTTAAATTTTTTTTCCTCTTTTTGTTTCATTTTGGATATTAAATGTTCCCTTGTCTTCAAGTTCACTAATCTTTTCTTCTGTAATGTCTAATCTGCAATTAATCCTATCTGTTGTATTTTTTTGTCTTAGACATTATAGTTTTCATCTTTAGAAGTTTCATCTTTAGAAGTTCAATTTAAAAATATCATCCATGTCTTTTCTTAACTTTTTGGGTCTATGGAGTATAGTTATAATTATAATAACTATTTGATGTTCTTGTCAGCTTATTCTATCATTTCAGGGTCAGTGTAAGTTGATCAATTTTTCTCCTCATTATTGGCCATATTTTCCTGCTGCTTTCTTTGCTATTAATCAGATTAGATGCCAGATATTGTGAATTCTATCTTGTTTGTTGCTAGATATTTTAGTTCTCCTATAAATATTAAGCTTTGTCTGGGGATGAAGCTAAGTTACTAAGAAAAACATTGATCCTTTCAGGTCTTACTTTCAAGATTTGTTAGGTTGGATCAGAGCAGCATTTTTTTTTCCTAGGGCTAATCATTCTCCATTACTGAGGCAAGACTTTTTTGCTTACACTACCCAGGGACCCATGAGTTATTAAGTTTTCTGCTCTGGTTGGTAGGATCAGGTACTCTTCTCAGCCCTCTATGAACTCAGGCACTATTCTCATTCTTCCTTTTAGATAATTTCTCTCTCATCTCTGGTAGTTTCCTTAAACAGGTAAACTGATCAGTTCTCTGGTGAATACCCAAGGCAGACACTCCACAGATAGCTGGAGTTTTCTTTCCAGCTTTGTCCTTTGTGTTATTCTGTCTTGTGAGCACTAGCTGCCTTGGTCTCCCCAGCTTCTCAACTCTGTCTCCCCACCTCCAGAAGCCTACTACTTCTTGTTTTCTTCTTCCTGTACCTGGACAGTGCTCAAGGCAGTAACCTGGGGCAGTCATAGAGCTCACCTTGACTGTTTTTGGTCTTCCATGGTTCATTGCCCTTATTACCTGAGGTCCACTCTCTTGAAAACTGCTGTTTCATACTTTTTCTGTTTTTCTTTTCAGTTGTGTCAGATAGGAGGTTAGCTGCGTTCCATTACTCCATCTCGCTGGAAGCAGAAGCGTCCATTACCTTTTTATTCCATTATTTTTCTTTTAAAACTCACCTTAGAAGCAATCTTCCTCTGTAACAACCGACGGCTCCAGAAAGTGTGTTCCATCATCCTATGACTGCTTTGCTTCTCAAAGCAAGCCTATGAGGTGGCGTCAGATCATCCCCACTTTACTGGTATGGGAACTGAGCCTCAGAGAAGTGAAGGGCCTTGTCCAAAGTCACATGGTCTGTAAAGAATTAAGCCTATGTCCCTACTGCACTGTGCTGCCCTTGTCGTTCCCAGGAGGGGAAGTAGAGCCACATGAAGAAAGGGTTGGCCTTGTTAATATATTTTAAATTATTTTGGGTGGGGAGGGAGATAAATAGGTGGACTCAGAGAGTAATATTTTCCAGGTCACAACGCTAATGAGCCTGGTGCTTAGAGAGGGTCAGGGGTCTCAGTGAGTGGTCTTCCTACTGCACCTACCCCTGACTCATTTCCAAGGAAGGGAGTATGTCTTCTGTGTAATGCATCCAGCCAGAGAGGAGAATTGGGCTTTTGTCCAGAGCTGTGGAATTGGGGATCTAAAACCCTCAGGGAAAAGAGAAAGTTACTGGCCGCTCAGTGGCAGGGTGTGTGTGGGTGAAGGGGAGGCAGGAGCACCAGACAGCTGGGGGTGGACCTGTGGAAGCTGTGGGCTGAGGGCACTGAAGTGGGGGTTGTAGGTGCAGTCGGCTCTCCACCCCTCTCCACCCATCTCCTGGCTTGCATGATTCTCCCTGCTCCTCCCCCTCTTCTGAGAAATAAAGGTGGGAATAAAATAATTAAGCCGTGAGTAGGTGAGGTGTTAGGGAGACAGCTTGCCAGGGTAGGCAGCACAGATGACCGCAGGGTGGGGAGGGAGGTGGTGGGAGGCAAATGTGCAGATCCGAGCTCTGAGAAACTGGGTGGAGGGGGCTCAGCCTGGGTGTGCAGAGTTGCAGGTGGGGACACTGGAGGGTGACACCCCAGGGACAGGTGCTTCCTGGGAAAAAGGTAATATGGTCTTTTCCTGGCTATGGGGGAGGCTTTGGAATGTTCTTGGAGAATTTCTTTAAAGTGAGATTCTTCTTAGAATCTTTTAAAGCATGGAATGGAATGGAACCTGATAGTTTTCATGTATTCAGTGCTATTTTAGGCTCAGAACCCATTTCACACGCATCAACCCATTTCATATCACAATTATCCTATGAGGTAGGTACTATTATTTATTCCATTTCACAGAATTCGAGGCTCAGGCAGGTGGTGGCTCACTCAAGCATCCTATACACTTTTTTTAATGAGAGAGATGTGAGGTGCTAGAGCCTCACTGAACAGAACTCACGTGAGGGGGCTTCCCTCAGCTTGACAGACTTGGAGAGGGATGAGAGAAGAAAACGACGTATTGAAGACTGACACCAAATATGGTATTAGGTACTATATCATATATATTCTGGATGTTTTGACTACTCAATAGCAACTTCCCTTCCATGGGAAGCTGGAACTCGATTTTTATGTGAACATTCCCAATTTTTAAATGTTGGCATCTAATTAAAAAAACCATGTGAGCCCCCAAAATGTTCTTGACTCCAGGTGAAAGGAGTTTTTGGTAATATAGCTCATATGGTGTGCCAGGCTCTGTGCTGGGCCAGAGGGAGCTGAGGACAAGTCAGCCTGGCCTCAGTTCTCCCAGGGCAGCCTGGTTGCAGTTTGTTGTACTGGGATTAGATCTGCGTTATTCTTTAACCCCTTGGCCTGACCTGCAGAATGCTCTTTGTTTGGAAATGGAAACAATAAAGCAATTAATGGCATAATTTGTGGCACTCAGAAACTTGGGAAATGTTTCTAGGGCTTCAGTGTTTCCTGAGGGGCTTTCACTGTCCCATTTGATCCATTCTGTTAAATGAGCAATAATCCCACTTTCCGGGTGGGGCAACCAAGGCTTATAGGAAATAAGGGTCTGAGAGTCACATGAACTGGCCTGGACCCAGGGCTCATGAGTCTGTTTCCCCCTTGCTACATGGTGGCTCAGGTAGAGACAGGGGATGGGGACTGATGTTATTTGAACACTGGGTGTTCATACTGATCTGATTGGATCTTCCCTCAACCCTGTGAGATCAGCCTCATTCTTCATAGCAGATTGTTCAAGGCAGTTGGATTACTTACCTGGCAGCTCAGGGCCACATTGTGAGTGTTCTAGCCAGCAAGGTGGGAGCTGTATCATCTTTATGATCACTGCTACTGTAGTCACAAGCCCTCTCAAGATTCAAGGAAAGGGAACAGACTACCTCACAATAGGGAAAGTATCCAAGACACACTGTAAGAAGAGCATGAGGGATGGGAGATATGACCTTCTTTGGAAAATGTAACATGCAACAGTGTGCAAAGTTTACCTTGCACTGTGTTCTCCAAAGCAGAGGTTTCCATAAACGTTATACTTGAACTTCACATTTTAAATATGTTTAACTATTTAAACATTGTAATAAATGCAACATGAATCCTCAGATATGTTGCATGCTCAATGTTAAAACCTGGAGATGGCCAGCATATTTTTCATGTTGTTAACTCAGTTGTGTGTAAGCTTGACACTAAAGTTTCTCCTCCTATCTCTGTATAATTAGAGAAAATCCTGAAATTCCGAAGCAAGTCTTAAAATACAAGTAGCATTTCCAACTGCTATTCTTCGTGACCTGGAATTTTCTTAGTATTTCCAAAAGAAAAAAAAAAAAAGGACTAAATGCAGTGCTGAGGTTGAAACATGACTGCATCTGTCATCCATAATATCTAATTTCTTTTTGTTTTTGATCTATCCAAACAATATCACTGTTCTCAATGATTGACCTTATAATAAGTACATGTTATAGAGTTTGCCACAGAGGCACCAAATTTCTGTCATTTTCCTTTTACTGGAAGAGGACAACTACATTTCCCAGAGTCCTTTGCATCTGAATTGAGGCAGGTGACTGGATGCTGAGGACCACTGGGATATGGATGGAAGTGGTGTATGCTCTTTCTTCCCCTTCCACAGAGGCCAGGGCTTTATCATGGCTGAATCACAAGATTGTTGGGGGGGGTGAGTCACTGGGGGGAATGGAAATCTGCTAAGAAGAGTTCCTTGACCTGCACTAACTGTGACATGTGCAAGAAAAAAACCTTTGTGTGTTAAGCCACTGTAATATTGGGGTGTATTTGTTATCATAGCAAATCCTGGTCTACCCTGACTGAATCCGAATCAAACTTTTGAAATAAAATTTCTAATAAAACATAGGTCTTATCTGTCCTATAAGTGTTCCATACATTATTTATTTCAAAGAAAAACAGCTCTCCTAATCTAAAAGATTTCAAAATCAGTAATGAAACCTCATGTCTGAATCTTACAGGTGGGGAACTCAAGGACCAAATAGGAGAAATGACTTTTTTACAGTCACACAGCCGTGGCAGGGCTAGAATCCAGCATAAGGATATCTGTAGTTTTAACCTGTGTGAGAACATATGGGTGAGGAAACTTCATATCTGCTGCAATTTATTTATTTATTTACTTAGGCTGTGCCGGGTCTTAGTTGCGGCATGCGGGATCTTCGTTGCTGCCTGCAGACTTCTTAGTCGTGGCATGCATGCGGGATCTAGTTCCCCAACCAGGGATTGAACCCAGGCCCCCTATATTGGGAGCATGGAGTCTCACCCACTGGACCACCAGGGAAGTCCCTGCTGCAAATATTTTGACATAGATTAATAATGCATCAATAAAGCAACTTTTTCATAACATTTTCTAGTCAGAAGCTCTCATGGGCATTTTCTTTCTTTATTCTCTACTCCCCAGATTGTCTCTACTCCCCAGATTGTCTCAACTCCTCAGTGTTGGAGCCTGTGCTGAAGTTCATCAGATATTCCAGGCAGGGCTTGTCTAGAAGCAGAATATACTACACCAAGGATAGTTTGAGATCAAGTGAGAAAAGGACACAGAGACACTCAGAGAGAAAGTTCCTGTGAAGATGTAGACAAAGATTGGAGTTATGCTACTACAAGCCAAGGAAATTTAGAAGCTACCAGAATCTGGGAGAGGCAAGGAAATATTCTCTCCTAGAGCTTGACAGGTACGTGGCCCTGCTGACACCTTGATTTCGAACTTCTGGCCTCCAGGACTGTGAGAAGATAAATTTGTTTTAAGCCATAAAATTTGTGGCAATTTGTTATGGCAGTCTCGGAAACTAATACAGGGTTGTACATAAAACACAGCTGCCTTGTCATGAAATACAGCTTGAGGAGGCTCCAAGATCACCTTTCTCAAAGAGAGCAATGCCATGTCTGACAATATTCATGCAGATATTGTCTTTGTGCTCAGAGATAAATCCTATACACACTTCTGTGGGAAAAGCACCTTGCCCTCAGCTGCCACAAAGTGGTGGACCTGGGTCTGGTTGTGTGTGTGGGGGTGTGGGTATCATGGTGGAGATGACGAGAACGTTCTCATTCCTCCTGCTCCTGGCTCATTCTGTCTCTCCGCCAGTAATTTTCCTTATTTCCCACTCACTCTTCTACTGTTTTCCTCATTCTCTCATTTATCCCCAGGCACGTTGTGGCTTCACCGTGAACATTCCCACCATTGATATCTGTCTGAGTCATCCTTCATGGAGATCTCATTATGAGTTGAATATTTCTTCCCAAATATAACACTATAGACATTAACGATCCTTGAGTAGCAACTACCCTTTTTCTGGGTACAAGTTTCTGGCTTCTGAACAGGTGCGGGACATCCCTGGAGGGAGAAGAATAAAGTGGGCAGTAAGCCCTGCATCATGCACACCCATGGGGATCCTACCCTGACTGATCTTGCCCAAGTGCCTGTTCAGGGTGTTTTCCAGTTGCTTCTTTACTAGGTTCTCCCTTGGGTGCCTTGATAAGTCACTCTCTGAGTCACTCACCAACTCCCTCTTTCTTCTCTCTCAAAGTCAGTTCCCTAATAGTGTGTTGGATAGCTTTGTGAGCCCCTTGATAGATGAGCTTTTGGACCCTTCCTCAGAATATACTCTAGTTCCCATCACTAGTTTCTTCCTTATCTGGGCTCCTCACATAGGAACTTCCTGGATTCCCTAATCCAATCTTCCTGAAGTACTTTTTGCTTTAGCACTTAAAAACAGAGGGCATTGAGTGTTGATGAGACAGGGTTCCAGGCAGGAGCAGAGGCTGGGCCTTGGGGTAGAGTAGGGGCTGATTCTGGGGAAATTGTGGGGATTCTTTAAACTGCATTTGGTTTTGAGGGGCAGGGGTATTAGATATTCCATTGGATAGAATGGAGATGCTAATGGGGAACAGCTACCAAAGATCGGGACTGTAGCCATCAGGGACTTGTGCCTAGTGAGGAGATTCTAGAAGGCCCAGGCCCCATTTCTGTTGCACATGGTTCCCTAAACCTTTGAGAAATGGGAGCTTGTGATGACTGGGCTCATGTTTGCCTCCAGTTCTAGAATAGCTGGAGGGCTGTGGTTCTTGTTCATTAGCAAGTGATTCTAAGCTATTTACAGACTTTACAAGTAATTCCTCTTTTTTTTTTCTCCTCCCAAATTTAGAAATCCACTATCTTTAAAACGTGGATCTTCAGATGCTCCTGAAGACAGACAAGGTGGGGAAAAAGATGCTGCAAGCCTCCAAATAATTGATTATCAGGTCTACCCAGAGGAGGTTGAAGTGAAAGAGGTTCTTGCTGGAGAACAGTGTGAGGAGGTGGGGAGGAACAAGTCCTTGGCAGATGCTGGTCACCATGGGAAGGCAAAACAGGCAGGTGTCAGCAGCTCATTCTTGAGAATGTTGACATAAAGAGGCCAACCAGTAGGTGCTAGCTGGAGATGCGCTCTCTGAAATGTTCAGACTGAGAGTTGGGTGTACTCTGGCAGTGGTAAGAGTAGGGCACTTTAGAAGTGGAGGATGCCAAGTGAATGATTCAGTGGGATTCAAGGGGTGGGTCAAATTCAGTGAGATTGCTATCATGAAGCATGTGGGGTCAGGTGAAGCCATTCTTTTCTTTACTCTGTTTACACGAGAAAACAAAAACAGAATGAACAGCTGGGAATCACACTATCCCCTCTCCAGGCAAGAGGGGATATTCACGAATAATGTGTCTTCTGCATTGAATTCATGTATTGCTGTGTTCTTTCCCTGTTATTCATTTTTACGGTGGATAAAAATATTTTCCATTGATGCTTCTTTGAAAAATTCAAATTAAAAAGTATTTTTGATATGTGTTCCTCAGTGATCTTTCAGTCAGGTATCTTCTGTTTAAGAAGACCCCGAATAGCCAAAGCAATCTTGAGACTGCAAAATGGAGCTGGAGGAATCAGGCTCCCTGACTTCAGACTATACTACAAAGCTACAGTAATCAAGACAGTATGACACTGGCACAAAAACAGAAATATAGATCAACGGAACAGGATAGAAAGCCCAGAGATATACCCACGCACATATGGTCACCTTATCTTTTTTTTTTTTTTTTTTGCGGTACGCGGGCCTTTTACTGTTGTGGCCTCTCCCGTTGCAGAGCAACAGGCTCCGGATGCGCAGTCTCAGTGGCCATGGCTCATGGGCGCAGCCACTCCGTGGCATGTGGGATCTTCCCAGATTGGGGCACAAACCCATGTCCCCTGCATCGGCAGGCAGACTCTCAAACACTGTGCCACCAGGGAAGCCCGGTCACCTTATCTTTGATAAAGGAGGCAAGAATATACAGTGGAGAAAAGACAGCCTCTTCAATAAGTGGTGCTGGGAAAACTGGACAGGTACATGTAAAAGTATGAGATTAGAACACTCCCTAACACCATACACAAAAATAAGCTCAAAATGGATTAAAGACCTAAATGTAAGGCCAGAAACTATCAAACTCTTAGAGGAAAACATAGGCAGAACACTCTATGATATAAATCACAGCAAGGTCCTTTTTTGACTCACCTCCTAGAGAGAAATGGAAATAAAAACAAAAATAAACAAATGGGACCTAATGAGACTTAAAAGCTTTTGCACAGAAAAGGAAACCATTAAACAAGACGAAAAGACAACCCTCAGAATGGGAGAAAATATTTTCAAATGAAGCAACTGACAAAGGATTAATCTCCAAAATTTACAAGCAGCTCATGCAGATCAATAACAAAAAAACAAACAACCCAATCCAAAAATGGGCAGAAGACCTAAATAGACATTTCTCCAAAGAAGATATACAGACTGCCAACAAACACATGAAGGAATGCTCAACATCATTAATCATTAGAGAAATGCAAATCAAAACTACAATGAGATATCATCTCACACCAGTCAGAATGGCCATCATCAAAAAATCTAGAAACAATAAATGCTGGAGAGGGTGTGGAGAAAAGGGAACACTCTTGCACTGCTGGTGGGAATGTAAATTGATACAGTCACTATGGAGAACAGTATGGAGGTTCCTTAAAAAACTACAAATAGAACTACTATGTGACCCAGCAATCCCACTACTGGGCGTATACCCTGAGAAAACCATAATTCAAAAAGAGCCATGTACCAAAATGTTCATTTCAGCTCTATTTACAATAGCCAGGACATGGAAGCAACCTAAGTGTCCATCATCGGATGAATGGATAAAGATGTGGCACATATATACAATGGAATATTACTCAGCCATAAAAAGAAACGAAATTGAGTTATTTGTAGTGAGGTGGATGGACCTAGAGTCTGTCATACAGAGTGAAGTAAGTCAGAAAGAGAAAAGCAAATACTGTATGCTAACACATATATATGGAATCTAAGAAAACAAACAAACAAACAAACAAAAAGCAGTCATGAAGAACCTAGGGGTAAGACAGGAATAAAGACACAGACCTACTAGAGAATGGACTTGAGGATATGGGGAGGGGGAAGGGTAAGCTGTGACAAAGTGAGAGAGTGGCATGGACACATATACACTACCAAACGTAAAATAGATAGCTAGTGGGAAGCAGCCACATAGCACAGGGAGATCAGCTCAAGTGCTTTGTGACCACCTAGATGGGAGAGATAGGGAGGGTGGGAGGGAGGGAGATGCAAGAGGGAAGAGATATGGGAACATATGTATAACTGATTCATTTTGTTATAAAGCAGAAACTAACACACCATTGTAAGGCAATTATACTCCAATAAAGATGTTACAAAAAATAAAAACACAGAGAAATGATCAGATGACTGACAGGAAAAGAAATTTATAAGACAGCAGCCTAACTACCAATTCTCTAAAGAAAGGAGAACTAATAAAATATGAAAATACATTGAAAATTAAAAAATAATAAATAAAATAAAGGTGCTTATTTTAGTCCTAAATATGCAGTTTGCTCCATCAGGTAGGATTCTTATCCCTGAGGCCAGAGCTGAGTTTTTGGCATCTTCTCAGAGACTTTTATAGGATTGGCATGGCTCTGCAGATTTGCCCCAACCCAAAGGCTTGGCTCAGAGACCAAGAATCCATGTGGGAAGGTAACTGAAAAACAAGTATTGTAGGGCTCTGCTCTGCTGCAGGTATCCTGAACTTTAATTATCCAGGTTTTTCTCTGGAGCTTTCTATACAGCCCTCTAGATATGACTGTGGGCTTTGAATAGAAACCCTAATTGCCACTCTACCCCCTGGCCAATCTATCCTCTTCCCCTAGAAGAATGATGATCTAATATTTCTGGAGAATTTCCACCTGAGGTATCTGTCTCTGTAAATGATCTAATAATATGGGTAAGAACAGGCAAAACAAGATCAGTCTGTTCTGGAGGCTAGGTCTAGGAATCCATAACCTGATACATTTCTCTATTTTTCACAAATAATGATGAAAATGGATTCCTCTGGAGAGAGTGGAGAAACAGAAAGAGGATCCCACATCATAGATGATCTAGAAAAATGTCTCAAAAGTTAATCTTGAGCTCAATCCTGGGGCACTAAATTTCCTCAGAAAAAAAAGAGAGATGTCTTTATCATCTGAAGCGCACACTGCCTCAGGCAACTGGGCACTGAGCATTCTTATTAGTAGAGTTCCACACCTGCATCACAGAGCTCTGTATGGGTTCTTGAGGCTGGGGGTGGGAGCACAAGAGGTGGAAGAACCCTTAGTACCTCTCCTCACACTTGAGTCTAGCAGATCCCACCACACATCCTGGACCAACTGCATCCCCTCACCCTTCTCTGGGCTTTGTTGTTTTCCACTTCCAACCTTTCTGCGTATAATAATAATAATTACCTTAGTACAATTCTCCGTTTATTCCCCACATCACCAAAGCTAGGTTCAGCTTTGATCTTACCATTTCCATAGCCTCAAAAGTCTGGAGTTTTGCCAGAAGTTTTTTGTTAATTCTCAGGGATTTACAATCTCAGAATCTCTTCTATTTTCAACTCTGGCTCTGGTTTTGCTTTGCATAAAGCCATGGAACTCAGTTTCCTCCTTCAGATTTCCCCCCAAACATAGACTCTCACAGGAAAGCTTAAGTAAGCAATGTAGTCTCTATTAAAGATAATTCATGGGTGGCAAAAAGGGAGTGTGGTGCCATGGCAAAAAATATTTTTTAATTTAAAAAATTGTGGTAAAATATATATTTACCATCTTACCCATTTGTAAGTGTTCACTTAAGTGGCCTTTAGTCACATTGTTGTGCACGCATCACCAACACCCATCTCTAAAACTCTTTTCATCTTGCACAGCTGAAACTCTGCATTCATTAAACAATAACATCCCAATTCTCCCCTTCCTTCAGCCCCTGGCAACTGCCATTCTATGTCTGTCTGTATGAATTTCACGACTCTAGGAACTTTATATCAGTAGAATCATACAATATTTGTCTTTATGTGACTGGCTTATTTTCACTTAGTATATGTCTTCAGTGTTAACGCAGGTTGTAGCATGTAGAATTTCCTTTTTAAGGCAGAATAATATTCCTTTGTATGTATATACCACATTCTGTTTAGCCATTTATCCTTTGATGGACACTGGGTTGCTTCCACTTTTCGGCTACTGTGAATAATGCTACTGTGGGGCATCGGCAGGTGGACTCTCAACCACTGCGCCACCAGGGAAGCCCCAAAGAACCAACTTTTGCTTTCACTGGTTTTCTCTATTATTTTTCTATTCTCTATTTCATTTATCCCTGCACTAATATTTATTACTTAATTCATTTTATTAGCTTTGGGTTGTTTCTTCTTCTTTTTCCAGTTCCTTAAATTGTAAAGTTAGGTTTTGGACTTGAGATCTTGTTGTTTTTTTTTTGCAGTACGTGGGCCCCTCACCGCTGTGGCCTCTCCCGCCATGAAGCACAGGCTCCGGAAGCGCAGGCCCAGCGGCCATGGCTCACGGGCCCAGCCGCTCCGCGGCATGTGGGATCCTCCCGGACCGGGTCACGAACCCACGTCCGCTGCATTGGCAGGCGGACTCTCAACCACTGCGCCACCAGGGAAGCCCGAGATCTTGTTTTTTAACGTAAGTGTTTATAGTTATCATTTCCTCCGTAGCACTGCTTTTACTGCATCTGTAAGTTTTGGTATGTTGTATTTTTGTTTTCATTGGTCTCTATGTATTTTTAAATGTCCCTGTGATTTCTTTGACCCATTAGTTGTCTAAGAGTGTGCTGTTAATTTCCACAAATTTGTGAATTCTCCAGTTTTACTATTTTTTTAATTAAAAAAATTTTTTTTTAAGTTTTATTTGTTTCTGGCTGTGTTGGGTCTTTGTTACTGTGTGTGGGCTTTCTCTAC